GAAGAATAAAAATAAAAACTGAATTTGAAAAGAAACAAATAATCCAAACGCCTACTCCCGGCAACGGCGCCAAAAATTGACAGGTGCCTAACCTGTGCAATAATAATTACTAAAAAGTCCTAATTACCACCTCAATTAAATAATTATAGAACCAATCCAAGTATTGGAGCAGGGACCCTAGGTGTGCAATGGGTTACTTGATTCACCCTGTTCCCGAAGAGTTTGCTTGATCCGATATACCGGATTTTTCTATAAAAATACTAATTTTGCGTACAATGGCAAGTAGGGTCGATTCCACAGGGAGCGGGTAGGAAATTATTTCTTTCCAAAACAGTAGAACAAAATTGGGGGATTTTCAATGGGAGGCAAATAAAAAAAAATAAAATAGAACAAACAAAATTCAAAACTAACTCACAAGGCACAATTCACTAAAAATAGCAATTAACAAAATTCCACCCAAAGGATCAACTGCTCAGGTACGGTCCAATTAAATGTTCATCGATGCAAAGATATTTCACCCATTCATCACTAGATTGGTTATAGCTATCAATAAGCTCTGACAACCAGTTCTTCCTTACCTTTTCGACAGTCAAGGTACGACCATTGACTGCTTCTCTAACCAGATAACAACCCTAGGTACGACCGTAGGAATTTAATTCCCCATCATAAAGCCAATTATGGTGGTTGCCACGGTGTCAATTAAATGAACAATTACGGATTCTATTTAATTAACGTGGCAGTAGGCTATTAAATTAAATCAAATATCCGGCCGTTGATATTCAATTAATAAAATACTCATGAACAATTAATTCAGGAAACACACGAATAGCAATAAATTGGAAGAAATAATGAAGATTCGATTAGATCTCACAGATATTATGGACCGCGTCCTTGCGTCACCCTTTGGGTAGAGGAGGAAATTAGCCGCTTCTCATCGTGTCAATCCCGCGTGATTTAGTTGAGTACATTAAATTGATTTCCGAAAAATTGGAAAAGCACAAGAGGAATCTCACGGAATTTAGAAAAGTCAAAAGCAAAAAGTGAAGAAGGGTCTCCGTTGTACAGAGCCCACCGCAGAAATCTTTAATGTCTGGCCGCTAGCCGCAGGCGAAACAAAAGCAACGGAAAAGCCAGGACAAAGCCGCTGACAAAAAGTAGGAAAAGAAAAATTAAAGCTAAGGCTAAAAAGTTGTTGTCCCAATCTTGCTTTTCTTTTCTTTATATAGCCGCCGCACACCAAGTCAAAGGCAGAGACGTCTGGAGCAATTTCATCTCACAAAAGCTATTTCCTTTAGAGTTTTAATCCAATGCTTCGGGTTCACGTGGACCACGGTCCGGCTTTCGGTTTCGTCCTCCTTCTAAGGCGTGGCCACGCTCTGAAGTGAAAAGTCTTCTGGAAATTTTTCCCCGCGATATCATTTTAATGCTAACCACCTACAATTCACACAAATGTCAAATATGAGTGAAATCCCCTTTCTTAGCACCATGAATAGCCAAAATTAGGACAAGATGACAATGCAAAACGTGCCAAATAACGGCTCTATCACTACAGTTGGAAACCATGATGAGGGAGTTCAAACGATTGCTTAAGAATGATATTGAACCATTGCATGACCGGATTGATCAGTTGGAGAACTCGAGACCTCCACCTATCTCAAGTAAGGGCAAAGAATCGACATATTCAAATGATGAAGAGGAAGCGTTTGAGGGAAGGTACCAAAATGATCAAAGGTTCCAACGTCGAGGAGATGACATCATTAAAGGTGTCAAACTCAAGATTCCCTCATTCCAAGGCAAGTCGGACCCGAGGCGTACTTGGAATGGGAACGAAAAATTGAATTAGTATAAGAATGCCACACCCATACGGAGGAGCAAAAGGTGAAACTAGTAGCTGTGGAATTCACTGACTACGCCTCCATTTGGTGGGACCAACTTAGACTAAGCCGAAGGAGAAATCGTGAGAGACCTGTGAAGACTTGGAGGAAATGAGGAGTCTAATAAGAAAAAGGTTCGTTCCGAGCTACTATAGCCGAGATCTACACTGTCGACTACAAGCTCTCAACCAAGGGTCCATGTCAATTGAGGATTATTACAAAGAGATAAAAATGGCCATAATGAAGGCGGATTTGCGTGAAGATGGAGAGGCCACTATGGCTCGTTTTCTACATGGATTGAGATCCGAGATTGCTGAAGTAGTAGAACTCCAACACTACCTCGACATGAATGAAATGCTCGAAAAAGCGGTCACAGTTGAACGGCGCCTCAAGAGGAGGGGTAGTGCGCGACAAAGCACTACTTATCAAGCAGGAAATTGGCGTATTTCTCAACCAAAAAGGGAGAAGAAAGCTGCAGCTCCTCCTCACCCTCCAAGGCCGAATGGCCTCCCTTCCAAGGCAACGACCAAGCCAGACTTTAAGGCTAGTAATGGAACTCCCAAACCGCGTGGCCGAGACACCAAGTGTTTTAAGTGTCAAGGATTTGGTCACATCAACCGAGTTGATACCCGGTCTAGTTCTGAAAACATAGATTTTTCAATCATCTGTGTTGTTGCGTAAGTTTTGGTTCATCTTCGCTAGCGAACGAGTTTCTGATTTGTGAAATTAATTGACGTAATGAGTTGCTTAGTCTTGTTTAAATTAAAAGGCAAATTCCACTTTACTCCTAGTGGCTTAGACCCCGTTTGGATTGCATTTTTCGTCATTTTTCATGAAAAAATTACTGTAGCGATTTGATGTATGTGAGGAAAAAAGATAATAGAAAAATGTGATCACGGAAAACGACGCAATTTTCTGGTAGAAAATGGCAATCCAAACAGTGCCTTAGTTTTTTGACATAAATCCCTTAGAGTTTCAAAAACTATACATAACCCCTCATAATTTGAACTAAAGTATCAAAATAACGAAAATAATCATTCGTAACAAAACTTTTTAAAATGTCGAAATTACCTTTATAAATACATCACCTACTAACCCCATATAATTTTTATATTTTATCATATAATTCCCTTATGACTTAATACTTTATTATATAATCCCTTTATGATTTTCAAAATATACACATAACCCCCTTTAATTAAGGCTTTTGATGTAATGAGTATTATAATATGAATTTTTAGTGGAATGCCATAAAAGCCAAAAGAACTTTTCTTTTGGAAGATTGATGTTTATGCTTTGAGAACTAACTTGCTTGTTTTTTTTTTTTTTAAAACACTTATTATCATCTGATACAAATGATACATATCAACTAACTTAAATTACCAAGCTAATGAGTGCTTGCACACTAACAAGTACGTGTATTGACTCGTATCGTAGGTGTAAACATAAAAAGATCGGCAAGAGGAGAGAGACCTGCCATCTCGATCACTAATGAACTTTTAATGGCAGGGAGAAGAGCATCAACCAAAGATGATGAACAGTAAATACAAATATGGATTAATGGCAGGGAGAAGAGCATCAACCAAAGATGATGAACAGTAAATACAAATATGGATGGGTGAAATGCCTAAACTTGTATTAGCAGTATTAATACTATAAGAAAATGAACTCGAATAGGTATCGATCATGATCAACGACTAAACATGTTTAGGAATTGATCCAAAACTAATGAGTGAGTTTCATTTAAACATATAATAATATCCCACATCATAAAATTTCTCATATCATCTGCTGCCTCGGGGGGAAAAAGGAAATAAGAGAAGCAATAAAGAAAAAGAGGTGTTTTTTTCTTTTCTTTTTCTTTTTTGTTGGAGGGTAAAAGAAAAAGAGTGTTAGCAGTGTTTTGTCTGGAAACGAGACAGGCTTTGAGGTCGGTTTCGAATCTTAGAGGAAAAAAAAAAAATCGCTTTTAGCACTGCCTTAGCCCTCAGGTAAAGAACCAAAAGTCGGCGTCGCGATAAACCCATAAATATAATAGTAATCCGAAAGGATCTCGAAAATAAACCTGGTACCTACCGTCCTCAAAAGAATTAGGGTTCTGGCAACTTGCTCTAACATCGTCCAGAAATCAATTAATCGCTCATGGCGGCTGAGAATCCCAATTGCACGGTTTACGTCGGTAAGCTTCTTTTCTTCTGGTTCTGCGGATGCCTTTTCTGTTTTTCTTCTTTTTCCCTTAAGTCTTGACAGAATTCTATTTTAGCGTGTTGAGTAATGGTGGATTAAGTAATTCTGTTTCTTTTTGCCCTAGGTTAACATGAAAGGTTTTTTGGTTTTCTACTCCTTCCTGCTTATCCATAGGATTAGGGCTTTTTTGCCTTTCCTTTCCCCGACTTGAGATTTGTCGTGTCGTGGGCTTCTCATTTGACATTCTGATTAAGCTGATTTTGGGGCAAAAGTATGGTTGTTGATTTTTTTTTTCCTTTTTGGCTATTATGTCTCGTGTTAGAATTTTCTAGGGTTTCAGCCTTTCAATATAGCCATAAATTATAATGAGGATGTTGTATGGTGCTTAAAAATTTATCTATTGCGTTATGAGGTGTAAAATTTATTGTCGCCGAAAATCAGCCAGTGTTTGTTGTTAAGAATTAAAAGAATAGACATCATTGTATTTGGGTTCTGGTTAAATAGAACTCGTAAGTAATCGGACAATGGAAATGCACAGTGATTTAGGTTATCTTGACAGACCGCGTTTGTCATGGTAGGTTAATCAAAGTTGGATGTATCTAATGCCTTTTGGTTATGCCTGTTGCAGGCAATCTAGATGAGAGGGTAAGTGATAGGGTACTGTATGACATTCTGATTCAAGCTGGTCGGGTGTGGACTTGTACATTCCTCGGGATAAAGAAACTGAGAAGCCGAAAGGTTTTGCATTTGCACAATATGAAACAGAAGAGGTAGCAGACTATGCTGTCAAGCTTTTTTCTGGCCTTGTAACCCTTTACAAAAGAACATTGAAATTTGCGGTATGTCCTTGTTCTTTGTGATTCATCTTGTAAGTTTTACTTTATACACTATATTACTCCATCTTTTTTTTTTTTCCCCAAGTTTGGGTCTTATGTTTGACTCAATTTGCTGTATCATGTGGTAACTTTTTGCTACATTTGTACTGCTATTCGTGCTCTCTCTCTCTCTCTCTCTCTCTCGTTTTTGTTTTGTTTTGTTTTAACTCTTCAACATTGGCCTCCAAGTCAGCCTGCGACTGGTTTCTCTGTGGGACTCCATGAGACGGTTAAATTTGTTGCTCCTCCTGAGGAGGGGTTTGTGGAGCTTCCGCTTACATCTTCTCTTGAAGAGGCAACAACTGAATTAGCTTATGGACCCTTACACAACTGGTGTAGGCTGACATTTGTAAATTGTGTTGAGGAGGCATGATTTTTCCAGCTTGCATAGAAAGTATAGTAATATTTGGACATTGAAAACAGATTTCTGGCAAGACAGGCCCTCAATGAACTTGCCTATGGTAAGTTCCTCTCACAAACCGAGGCCTCACCCTGTAGCGTATAACGAAATGGGCGTTTCTCCAAATTCCATGAGGTTATCGACATCATGCAGGTTTCAAGATCACCAAGTAAACTATTCACAAGGTGATGCATACTTTCAAGACATCATTGCGTTTAGAAACCCTTGCATTTAATATTTACAACTTCTTCTGTTTTTGTGTTTAACAAAATTTGCTTTCTTATTCAGTGCGTGTCACTCCTGCCGTGTCTGTAAACCAGCCAAATGGGTATAGATCCAATTATGACAACAATGATTATGAGCATTCTAATGGATATAGATCACATTATGACAGCAACAATTATGATTACAGTCGAAGAGTGTTTGGGGCAGCATTGGATAATATTAATCGCTCTAGGTTGGGCCGATATGATACACGTGATTCTACCAGTTATTATGCCTCGTATTGATTTATAAGTTAGGTGGATACCAACTATAACTTTTCAGGTATGAAGCAACGTTGCAGATGTGATAATTCGGGTAGCAAAGTAGAAGGTTGTATATGTATAGCTCATGTTTATGGTTTTAGCATTTGTGTGTATCTGCATCTATGGTGTTTGTGTTTTAGCTTTTGCACTTATGAAACCTGAATTTCTTGGAACTTTATGTTGTTGTAGCAACGAGGTCATTTCTATGTTTGTAATCTGAAATTAGAGATCCTAGTAGTGATAATCAGTTGTAATCATTCAATGGATGACTTATTCTCTTCTGTTTTATTCTTTTTTATTTCTGAACCATAATTTGCTGTTATCCTGTATGATAGCTTAACATATGTGGCATGGTTTTTTTTTTTTTTTTTTTTTTTTTAAAGTCTGATTGTATTACTCTGGAGATATGCCCTTTAGATTTGGAAAAGATTTTTCCTCTCACTTAGTGATTCTCCTTGATGGAGCAACTTTTATGGAACAAGCACGCAGAAATTCCTTTTCAATTGTAAAGCTGGGGATGAGTGTCAGGTACCATATGGCGTACCTGATAATTCCATTCTCCCAAGAACTTGTGATCAGTTGCATTAACTGGAAATCCGAGGTACTATTTTTTGGCTGAATCACTCCTGAAATTAATTTATTACTTTCAAGTATGGGAAAAGAGAGAGTTGAGCAGACAAGCATTATTCCTATCGTGTACAGTTAGATTGTTCAGTATGCATTTGTTCATGTGTGCAACATGTCGAGATCAGTTGGTTTATTAGGATTCTGCTTCTTGGTAACTGCTTTACGTTTTCATTCTGATTTGGTCTTGGGAATCTTTGATATCTATCTCGATGTTTGATTGTGTAGCTGCGAGCTGTATCATCATCATTTGTAAAGAGCCAATCGTGAATATTCTTAGCGTGTGGGGTGTTCTTTAATTTCTTGATTAGTTTCACTCTGGAAGCTCATAGCATAAGAAGCTTCATTGCTTTTGGTTGTTTTGGAGCTTGTACGATTACCAATCTGTTGCTTTTGGTTGTTTTGGAGCTTGTACGGTTTTTGGAACTTTTTTATTGTACTTTTTTTTATAGGCTCGCAGTCAAATCTTGGTTTGGCTTCGGTAGAGCAGGATTTGATTGTCTACTCCTTGCAAGAGGCTTGTATTTGTCATGAAAATAGTCGAGGTTTACTCTTGTACTGGGCATAGCGAATAACAACTGATAATTTAAAGCATAGAGTTGCAATATGTTTTCCCATTCCTTGCGCTTTTGCTCTTGCCCTAGCCCTACCCCGTGCCCCTTCCTGCGACCTTCTTTTCATGTTGTGGAGTCAGACGAATGGAGGAGCAACTTTTGTGTCAAACAGACAGGAAAAAAAGGGGAGAAATGGCAGTAAGATGATGTCCATGGTTCTCGTTGCAGAGAAAATTACAGAAATAATTTGCTCGTGCTCTTAAAAATCATGTGTTTGCTAACGTTGCTCAGCAGTGGATTAGTGGTCTAATGCAATCGTAGCTAGTTGGTTCCACCAGGTTTTCTTAAATTCCCGGGGTCAGTGTTTTGATATTCCAGGGTCTGAATTCTGATGCAGGCAACAATGGTTAAAAAGAATAGGACGCGTGTTCTTTTTGTTTATGGTGTCCGTGGTGCCCGCCAAGTTGTCAGGCTCGCTGTGATTTGGTCAATTAGTCATCGTTGACGACTTTCACCCAGAATCCACAGAAAAGAGAGTGTCAATACAATTTGAGACTCTGGATGTTACAATTTAAGATGGGATAATATGAAATTGGGAAAATATTGACGTGTGAGTATGGCGTAAAAACTGAGAACTCATGACTACGAAGAGAAAATTTTCGCACTTTCTAGTTAATGAACGCGAGTAATAATTGTCAACTGAAGAACTGGAGACTTTGATATCCTGTTGGACGTGGGAGAAGGAAACTTAACGTAAAACATATTCCTGTCTGTGGACTTGATCATCATCAGTGACTTCCGTAACCTTTTATCAGCAGCTTCGACACTTTCATCTTCAATGGACAGTCCCCTGTATACCTAAACCACAAATCTTCATTGAATGCGGTTTCACAGTTGACCTCTCGGCCACCAAATCACCAAATTCTTTCGTGGAGAGCCTGCAGGCATGCTCTGGTGAGAAGTCATGTATCTGTTTATAATTAATCATTTTTACATATTCATTGTGCAATGGTTAACCATACATGAGTCAACCATGCGCGTGTATCAAGATTTATATATCATGATTCGGACCATGCAAAATCAATTTTTATGCCATGACAGGACCGATCACATATCGCTTGCACAAACTAAACAAACACTTGCTATTTTTTTAAAAAAAAAATTGTTCTAGTGGAAGGTATGAGATTTAAGAAATGGAAATGATAAAGAAAGATCAGAATCTCTAATTATTCTAACCTCAATTCTATTTTAAAGAAATAGCTTCTTTTTTTTTTTTTTTTTTTGGAGGGGGGCGCTCACAGGAAAAATGTTTTCATATGCTAACATAATACAATTAAGCACATGTTTACTATCTTTATTTCTAAGTGAGAACTAAACGGGTGGTTATTACTAATGCTCAATTCAAAAATAAAATAAAATAGTAAAAAAAATAAAGGGTGATGCCTAATATTCAGGTAGGGTAAAGTTTGATATTCGTCCGATGATTAATTCGATTAGACGACCGATAGGTAATCCGTCAGGATTTGATATTGATGAGGTGTATTCGATGGATAATCCAATAGAGTTTGGTAAGAGAACTCTAAAATCCTGAAACTCGATGTAAATACATGCACATATGTAGCAATCTTTTTATGCACTGATATTTAGTGATCTTTTTACACTAATAATTTTGAATGTGTGTAATCATTTTTTTTTTACACTAACACCTTTGGATGTATATCACAGGTGTATGATAGACATTTTCATGTAGATTACTCTCATGTAGGTTATATGACCCTACCAAAGTTTAAAATTCAATTTAATGTGTGGATTAAACATTATGTATGTACTAATTTTAGTTTGATAATAGTTAATTACCTTTTTCTCAATCATTCAAATTAGCAGGTAGAAGATAGCCAATAAATAATCCAAACTCGGAGTGAGAGAGTTTGGTAATGAAAGTAAAAATCTGTCAAGTTACCCAATGTGATTGGTTAAAAAATTTAGATGTATGGGTTAGAGTTTGACGCGGAATTTTTAAGGACATGCGAACCCAGGCTTCAACTGAGCAATTCCGCACAAAAGCACAAATGATGCAATAGCAGTGTCTCTCAAGAAACAACAGAATATCTCTAAGCCTGATGATCTTTTTTACGCTTGATTGAGCTGATATGATGAAAGCAAGGCTGCATTCTGTAGCAGGTCATCTGAATAGAAGAGGTCAACAGGATGTCTTTCAGCTGAATTTAAAGATAACCCAGCTAGCCAAAAGAGGTGACATTGATGAGGCCGTCAGAGTATTCAACGCAATAGCACATCCCAACGCTGTCACTTACAACTCGATGATCTCCGCCTATGCTAAGAATGGAAGAATCAGTGAGGCTTGTGCTCTATTTAATCGAATGCCATTTAAGAACTTGATTTCTTGGAACACAATGATGAGCGGTTACTTGTATAATGACTATTTTAAAGAAGCAGCTGACTTATTTGATAAAATGCGTCGAAGGGACTCTTTTACTTACAGTCTCATGATTACTTGTTATGCACGTAGCGGTTTCGTAGGAAAAGCAAGACGCGAATATTTGATTCGATGCCCGATAAGAGTTGTGCAGCGTGTTGGAATGCACTGATTACAGGGTATGTCAAGAATGGGATGCTCAGCGATGGTAGGAAATTGTTCAATGAAATGCCAGTGAGGAACTTGGTTTCGTGGAATACAATGCTTCGGGATATACCGTAGCGGGCAAATGTGTTTGGCTGCTAAGTTTTTCGAAGAGATGGAAGAAAAGGATTGGATTTCGTGGAATTTGGTATTAGAAGGGTACACGCAAGCTGGTGATCTGAATGCTGCTAGGGAGTTTTTTGAAAGGATTCCCAATCCAAGTGTTGTTTCTTGGGCCACAATGTTGAGTGGCTTAGCAAGGCATGGCCACCTTTCAGAGGCAGAGGGATTCTTTAACAACATGACGGAGAGAAATGTTGTTGCTTGGAATGCGATGTTGGCTGCATGCATTCAGAATTGCAAGGTTGACAAGGCAGTAGAGTTATTTAATGAGATGCCAGAGAAGGATGCTATATCATGGACTACCATCATCAGTGGTCATGTCCGAATTGGTCAGCTTGAAGAAGCAAAGAAATTGTTCGATAGAATGCCTTATGAAAATGTAGGGTCACAAACAGCCATGATGCTTGGCTTTATTCAGAACAATAGGATCGATGACGCCCGTCAAATTTTTGATCGCATGAGGAAACGTGACACTGTCTGTTGGAACACGATGATTGTGGGATATGCTCAACATGGAAGAATGGATGAAGCTTTCGATCTATTTCAAAATATGGCCCCAAAGAAAATAGATACTTGGAACACCATGATTGCGGGCTATGCTCAAGTAGGAAAAATGGAGAGAGCACTTGAGATGTTTGAGCAAATTGGGGAAAAGAATATAGTTTCTTGGAATTCCGTAATTTCAGGTTATGCACAAAATGGGTTATACATGGATGCACTGAAGAATATTTTGCTCATGATTCGTGATGGAAAGAAGCCTGATCAATCTACTTTTGCTTCTGGCCTAAGGGTCTGTGCTAGTCTTGCAGCTGAGCAATTTGGGCGGCAACTTCATCACATTGTGGTGAAAAATGGTTATATGAAAGATATGGTTGTCAGTAATGCTCTAATTACGATGTATGCCAAGTGTGGAAGTATCTTGAGTGCCAGAGATGTATTCAGTGATGTTGATAACCTTGACGTGGTATCCTGGAATTCTTTGATAGCAGGCTATGCTCTAAATGGATATGGGATAGAGGCATGCAAACTTTTCCAAGAAATGGAAGGATATGCTGTCATTCCTGATCAAGTTACTTTTGTTGGGGTTCTTTCTGCATGTAATCATGCAGGCTTAGTTTCTGCAGGTCTAACCTTGTTCAATTGCATGACGCAGAAGTATGGCATTGAACCTTTGGCTGAACATTATACTTGCATGGTCGATGTGCTTGGCAGAGCAGGAAGGTTAGAGGAAGCCTTTGAGTTAATCAGGAAAATGAAGGTCCAAGCCACTGCAGGAATATGGGGTGCTCTTCTTGGGGCTTGTCGCTTGCATAAAAATGTGATGCTTGCTGATTTTGCTGCTAGGAAGCTTTTTGA